GTTTAATGAATCGGGTGGTTAGGTGGTGGTCCATCGCTTCCTAGTCGTCCAGGGAAGATGGCGGGTTGTGTAACTACTTTTAACCCGAGGCACAGGGCCGCCTTTCGTGCCTTCTGAGGGTTTATTCCCTTTTCCGTGTTCGTTGTTTCTTTGCTCTCTCTGTTTGTTTTGTTTCTCTCTGTCTGTCTGCCTACCTGTCTCTCTGTCTCTCTCTCTCTCTTTCTCTCTTTTTTTTCTCTCTAACCCCTATTTCTTTGTTTGTGTTTTTATCTCTCTCTTTCTTTATCTATTTGTTTTTCTCTCACTCTCCCTCCCTCTCCTAGCATTTCTAAAGAAATGTTGCGTCGCCGATATGGTTGAATTTGGTATCAATGTATAATGGTTTGCTTAAATATAACAGGGGCGTAAATATAATAGTATAAAGCTTGTGCACACTAGTCTACATAGTCTACAGGCAATCGCGCAACAGAGTATAGTTGCACGACAGTTCAGATAGAGACACTTGCAAAGTCGGTTCTCTCAACTGGCTAGCAGCTTTAACGTTTTTGGACCATATCTGTGATTTTGCAGATGGCCCGTGATCTCGTCTCTTTGCTGAAAAAAAAACTAAAGAGTTAGACAAATAATAAAGATGAGGAATAAAACAAATAGATCAAAATGAAACTATTGAATGAATTAGATTAATGATTATTTGCGTCGAATCTCAGGAAAGAGAGAGAGAAAAAAAACTGGCAACTCACGGTGGACTCATAGAGAATTGACAGTGTTATTTTACATAAAAAATAAATACATAAATAAAAATCAACAAGAAATGCTGATTCTCTGAGTTTTAACACTACCAAAACCTTCGAACACAGGTTATTCAATTTTAAATTATTAGAATGAGAGAGAATTTTGTCGAATCGGAGTTCTCAGGAGTCGGGGGATGAGTTGCCAGTTCTTTTTTTTTCCCGAGACGCTCTATAGGAGGTTTTACTTCTGTTTTAAGGGAATCGTTTCGTGGTTTTACGAGTAGTGGCGTTTCGGTAAGTGATTTCTGAGATGTTTGACGAGATTATATCCTTGCAGTCTCCTTATTTGGCTCAAGCAACCATGTTTGGACACATCAAATGCAATTAAATGTACCGAATTTGTTAATATCGGCACCGCGCAGCTCTCTCTCTCTCTCTCTCTCTCTCTCTCTCTCTCTCTCCTCTCTCTCTCTCTCTCTCTCTCTCTCTCTCTCTTCTCCTCTCTCTCTTCTCCCTCTCTCTCTTTCTCCCTCTCTCTCTTTCTCCCTCTCTCTCTTTCTCCCTCTCTCTCTTCTCCTCTCTCTCTCTCTCTCTCTCTCTCTCTCTCTCTCTCTCTCTCTCTCTTCTCTCTCTCTCTCTCTCTCTCTTCTCTCTCTCTCTCTCTCTCTCTCTCTCTCTCTCTCTCTCTCTCTCTCTCTCTTTCTTAATCCCTTTTCTTCTTTTTCATCTGTGTTAATCACTGTCTGTATCCGATTCTCCGCGAATGTAGAACGGATGCTAGTTGAGTCTGAAACAGTGTCGTCGTATCCTTCCAGGCAGCGGCCCAAGACAGCGCTAGCAGCCCCGACTAGCTGCTAGCACGAGAATGCAAACGGTCCACATCGGAGAGACAAAAAAAACAAAAAACAAAAACAGATACGCCGATTTTCATGTTCGCGTAGAGAGTGATGGACTAGCTCCCTGTGCCTTCCATTTAAACCTTAAAGCAAGCTCGTGTGCGTGTTTGCAAGTGCAGTGAAATTCTCGGTGTGCAACCTTACCTATGCAAGGACTATGCAGATACTCGCGGCTGGACTGTAGGCGCGGGCGTGCAAGGTGAATGGCAGAGGGCGTCGCTACACTCGGCGGGACACCAAGGTAGGTTCCTTCAAGGTATTCAAAGAGGTGGAGGAAGATATAGGCCTATGTATTTATGTATATGAGCGTGTGCGTTGAGTATGCTTTTGTGTGTGTGTGTGGGGGTGTGTGTAGGCCTATATGGGTGTGTCTGTGTATTATCGTTTATTTTGTGTGTGTTTTATTTATTTTATGTGGGTGTTTTATTGATTTTATTTAGGTATTTTATTTTTTTTCATATGGGTATTTTGTGTGTTTGTTTGTCTTTGCTTGTGTGTGTGTTTTTGTTTGTTTGGGTGTGTTTGTGTTTACGTGTGTATCCTTATGCATGGATGTATGATTATGTTAATGTCATTCTTCTCCAAGTATGTTGTGAGGATTGTTCCAAAAATGGGTTTTGTTTATGTTCTCTTTCCTTATTCGGTAAATGGGAGAAGAATACAGAAAACAAATATGCGCAAACACACACACGTACGCACATGCACTAACCGGACACTCACTATCACATTCACATTCACACTTAAACCTAACCTGGCTCTCACTCTCACTCTCATTCTCACTCATACTCTCACTGTTACTGACAATCTCGCTAACACGCACGCACGTACGTACGCATCCGCACACACGCCCACTCACACACGCACACGCACACT